TAAATATAGTCTTTGGGCACAAATTGGTTCACCTGTCTTATTATGCAGCCTTACGTATGTACCGTTGTCAGGGTTTTGGTAATAACAACACTTCCACACAGGGATTTTCAGTTATTCTAGATGGCTGCAGTTAAAGTTGGTCAGAGCTGTACTTGCGATTATTTGGTGGGATGTGATATTTGCTTGAAGGAAAGCCAGCAAATAATACCCTGTTTACATTTACAACAAAAACAAATCTGAAATTGAAATTATTATGAATATATATATAAATATATGATATTGGTGTAACATGCTAAAGATTTAAAATAAAATGGGAAAAATACAATAAAGCAGTTTTTTTTTTTTTTTTACAGTGGACATTCTAACGCAAAGGTGTAAGTAACATTGATGGCTGCCTTCGGTTCAAGTGTACTAATAGTAAGTGGATGAGCCAGCATGCACAATAGCAGGGCACTGGGGCTGAATATGGTCATTATTAATGTTATTGGTTACACCAGTGGTTCTGTCATGCATGGTAAAATATCATCTAAAACTGTCGATAGAATGGAGCACATAGATCTATTAAAGAAGTATTTTGCACTTACACAAATGTTGTCACTTATTTGCCTGTTCAGACCTCAGAGGGACGGACTGCGAAGCAAGTTTGACAAAGGCTTTCTTTGGTTAGCAGTCCTAATAAAACCTAAACCTACAATCAGAGATAATGGGCGCTGCCCCCGACTAAAGATTTTCCTAGTAGTAGTCATTAAATAAAGTAGTTAACTAAATAGTTGACTAATGGTAGCACGTTTAATATTAATTTATTATTAAAATATATAGAGAGCTGCCTGTTAAATGATAATAGAAAAAACATCAAGTCTCGTTGCTGCTGCAAACACGGCAAGAGAGCGATGCTGGCAGAAAATCCACTCAACCCAACGCACTCTCAATGTTCATTTCTAACAGCTGCACATTGCACAGCTCTTTAAAATGTAAAGCATTCAAGCATAAAAACACATCCAGAGCGGTGTAGTTGATGGATCAGAAGTTAGATTATAAGCCCATCCAACCTATTCCCTCAGCTGAGGATTTCCATTGCTCAGTGAGTATTGTCAGGAAAAGAAGTGAAAGGGTGATGCTTTTTTTTCTCTCCAACATTTTCAACACATCCCATCATTCAATAGGCGTAACATGCTGTGGTGTTTCTCTGACCCCACACTGAATGATCTGTGGGGTTAACTGGCATGAATGAGAGCCGGTGAGCTAGCTAGCTAAACAGTTTTTGCTAAACAAAAAGTGTTCAAAGTTATTCTCCTCTTTTTTATCGTAGCGTGCATTAGCTAAGAAAACGTTGAAAAATTGCATCCGCTGTGATATGTCTAATGGAGATGCATGTGTGTGGCTGAGTGTAAAATGAAGTGGATAAAACAACATCTGGATTTTATCAGAATATCAGACACTTGAAGAACTGGAGCGTATTTCTCTTTTCTTATTACATTAATGCTTACTTCAAACACAATGTCTCCACCAGCTTGATCACTACAAGAGGTTTTTTCTTGTAGAATGAACATGTTATTATTGAGTACTAGTTAATTTGGGGTTGGATTGTTCATGTCAATGCCATGTTGTGAAATTATACCTGGGACCTGGCACATGGACCTTTCTCACCAAGTCATCTCTAGCTAAGTGAACAAGTAACAAAGAGCCCAATAAAGCCTGTGTCCAAAGTACTCCAACGCCTCAGAAGACATTTTTTAAACTACAAATCATGTCATGCTGCAGCCGAAGTTATTAGGCTACTTACTATACTACTGTCTTATCATAATTTCAGTTTAAAGCACACATAAAATCTCTATTACACTGTATCTGTATTAGACTTTCAAAGTTTCACTGCTCTAACACCATTTTCCCCCAAAAGTCAGTGGAACTTATTTCACAGTCTGTTTACTGTGGGTTCTCTCTCTCTGCCCACCACTGGCTGTCTGGCCGTCCCGGTGTGTATTATCTAACCTGCAGTATATTTTCTGGCTCAGTGCGTGACGTACCATTAATCTGAAACCGTTTTCCGATGTTAACTTGGACTTATTAAGTTGATTTCATACTCCTCTGTCTTTCTTGCAGCATGGCTAAAGGATTCATGTCGCTTCTTGGATTTACTGTCATCTTTATCGTGTCAGTGTGTGATCCCAGGGTAAATGATGACACACACACACACACACACACACACACACAACTAATGGTGATGATTGCAGAAACTGAAGAACATCAGGATGCTCGGGTGGAGAAATGCCAATCACCAGTTTTCTTTCGCTCTCTTCAGGGTTTCGTCGTCATGTTGGACAAAGTCGTGTCGTTCTCCCTCAACACTGAAGTTGGACTGTTTGTCTTCATCATGCTGAGAGAATCCAGAGAAGATAGATTCCAGTGAGTACTGTCAGCTACAGTATAGGAGCTGTAATCACTTTTTGGCAAATACAAAACTTGGGTTGTAATGGCTTTTTAAATGTATTTCAACAAGCACAAAATATATGTATGGCCCTTTAAAGGTATTTGTAAACCTTCAAAATGGGTGAGCTGTAATCTTTAAAATATAGAAACTCTGACATGAGCTCTAATCACTTTTTTGTAAAACTGAAAATGCGTACTGCATGTGATGAGTTGCACGGCCCTTTAAAGGTATTTCAGCAGGTAGATAATGTTGGACACATCAACATAAGAAAAAAACTGGTAAACTGTGGTTGTGGTTTGGCCTTTCGTTTGTTGTTTTTTGTGCTTGAAAATTCAAACTTTTAAAACCAGAGGGGCAATCCTTTGGAAACGCCACCCTTACTGTGGCTGTGGAAACTGACAACAGGCATTTGCTGTAAAAACAGATACGGGCCCACTTCGTGCGTGACTGGTTTTCAGCCACATAGTCAACACCAATGCCTTCAAAATATCTGTGTATTTTCACCCATCAAAGGTTTCTTTAAATTTGTCCAGGATTACTCTGAGCAACAACCCCATCCACACAGAATGATTGATTTGTGAGGGTGAATTCGCCATGTACTCTTCCTGTTTGTTCTCACTGTGCTGTGGAGGAAAGCGTTTGTATGCAGGCACAAACAGGACATCCCAATTTTCCTATAATTAGTACTAAATAACAATGATTGATGAACCTGTGAAATAAAACCTAAAAGCTGTTTGAAAAACTGAAAATCAAGTTGTCTGAGTTGTCTGAATGTGGAATGCTGCAGAGTCAGTGAGGAGATTAAAAACAAGAACAAACAACATGAATAACATCTGTTGTGCAATAGTCCGCACTCACATTTGTAATGAGATGTTCTGTGTCTCCGGTCCTTACAGACACCTTGCCGTCCCTCTGCCAGTAGGTGACTGTGTCTTCAGCCTCAGTTGGATGCTCCCCACCTACTTCCTGTTTGCGGTAACATACGACGTCCTGCAGACTCTGGCTGATGTGGCTCATTATCTGCATTTCTACAGCAACAGTGAGGAAGCACACAGCCACAATCTGACTGGCAGTTTAACGGCAGCCAATCTGTCCGTCCTGCTCTGATCCTCAATCAGCCCGAAAACAGACGGACCAGTAGGAGTTGGAATTGCCAAAAATCAGATGCTTAGCAAGTGCTTTTATATTGTATTCACACTTATCAAGCTCTTGATACATTTTAAAAATGTCAAAGATAGGCATTATTTGTTTTTGATGGAATGTTTTTGCACTCTTTTCTTTGTTCACTTGCGATGGCCTCACTGCGCATGCAAACTGTAAAATGTTTTAGTTTTTCCAGTAGTCTGGAAACCACCACACAGCAGGGGCCCGATGTATGAACGAGGCATACGCACAAAAAACATCAAATGTCTCCACCTCATGCATATTTCAGACCGAGTGTACCTTTAAGGTGTAGATCAGTGGTTCCCATTCTGGGGGTCGGGACCCCCACTAGGGGTCACCAAAGCTTCACAGGGTTGTGAGGCCTTCTTGAAAACAAATATACATACATACACATTAGGCCTGTATCTCAGTATTTTGTTCA